AGTGCCGTAATTGAATGGTGCTTAAAGGAATGTTGAATCTATTTAAGCCTTCAAGAATTCCTTGAATATAAGACCAAGGAACTGCCAAAATGAAATCTTTGTCGGTAATTTTTCACCAGAAGTTGTACATATTTATGAGGAGTTAGGAAAAATAATTTTTTTTTCTTTTGAGAGGCTGGAATGATGGATTTAATGTTGGCAAAATTTCCTTTTGTATTTTTGTTTTTGTTCCGTTAAACGTATAAATTAACCTTTACTGATTTGTTAAATTCTCATTTGGGAAGCTAAATCTAAATTTTAGTGTTCCATGTTGATTCATCTTTGATGATGAATCACACATTTCTCCATAAATGAAAACAATTGCATATACCCAGAGTGTGTAAGGTTTGTCGAGAGCAATTTGCATATAATGTAGTGATGCGTATTTGTTCATTTATTTCTGTACTAATTATCCTCTGTTTTTTGTTCTTCTTCACAGTCATTCCATTATTGCAAGTATAGACGCGATGAAAATCAATTGTACATATTTGCTGATGACACCGTTCCCAGATGGCTTACTGCATCATACCACATTGATTTTGACACCATGGCAGGTGCAGACAAGTTTGGCAATTTCTACTTTGTGCGGTTACCACAGGATGTGTCAGATGAGATCGAAGAAGATCCAACTGGTGGAAAGATAAAGTGGGAGCAGGGGAAGCTGAATGGAGCCCCCAACAAAGTAGAGGAAGTAGTGCAGTTTCATGTTGGTGATGTGGTCACATGCTTGCAGAAGGCATCTCTAATTCCTGTAGGTGGAGAGTGCATCATATATGGGACTGTGATGGGTAGCTTGGGGGCATTGCTTGCATTCACCTCTCGGGATGATGTTGATTTCTTCTCTCATTTGGAGATGCACTTGAGGCAGGAACACCCGCCTTTATGTGGAAGAGACCACATGGCCTATAGATCTGCCTATTTTCCAGTGAAGGTAAACCTTGTGCTTCTTATTCACAACCATGCACTTGGCTGGCGTACACCTTTGACAGCACCACATGCGGTCTCATTCACAATGGATGGATCATGTTTCCTTGATTCATCTTAATTAGTATGATTCTTTTTTATTATCAGCTTGTTCTCTGAGGGTTCTTTATGGATGAAGACATGCTTTTGGTTTTACTTCTTTTGGGGTTTCAGACAGTTTTTCAGTTAATGTTGGTAATGACTGAAAAAATTTCAATAATTTTACAGGATGTGATTGATGGAGATTTGTGTGAACAATTTCCAACTTTGCCCCTGGACCTACAGCGAAAAATTGCTGATGAATTGGATAGAACTCCGGCAGAGATTTTGAAAAAATTGGAAGAAGTGCGAAATAAGATCATATGAGGTGCTTAGAACAAAGGTAAACTAACCCTAGCCGCTCATCTTAAAAATGTCTTTTTTGCGTCAATATGTGCTTATGTACGTAACTATATTGATCTAACTGTGTGTGTGCCCAATACTACCTTAGAAACCGATGGTGGTGGTGATCTTACAATTGGTCTTGTGTTTGTTTTCTTACTATAATTTTTTGGCCTGTGATACCTTTTTGATAGTGTGTTATTACCGAGAATATTATGGTCTTGAAGGAGAGGAGACTAGAGTAGAAAAACTTATCATAACGTTTGCCTAAGAATTAGCAGTAGAGATGATTTGCAGAACTGGATGTAGGAATCAATTAAGATTCAGGTTTAAAGGATAATTACTTTGGCTGTGATGCTAAAATGGCGTAAATTGAGATGGTATAGGAAGTAATCTGATGTTTTGAGCAAAGGGGCTTCATATCAACCCTTCATAATGCAACATTATTTGAATCATAGGATTACATAGAAGTTAGCTGCTGGGTTCTCCTATTTCTAATGGGACTATGACTTCAATTAAGACTATGCTTGAGCAAAAAAAATAAAAAAATAACTTCGACTAAGAAAACTCCAATATAACATTGTAAAACCACATGTCTCAAGGAGTATCGATCGCCAATTGGTCCTACAACTATTGAAAAGACTACGTACGTGTGGACAGCTAAATTCAATAAGAGTAAAATAATAAAATTCCAGCATCAAAGTTTACATGAATGCAACCTTAACTCCACAAGCACCAAAGCCATCTCCATGCAAAATTTCTAAGTTGTCAACTTCCATGTTCTCTCTTTCTTCATTACCTTGTCAAATGGTAATGCAAATAAATATTATTTTTGAGATCTGTTATATTTGCTGACAAAAAAAAGAAAAAAGATCTGGTATATTTTATTGGAGTTTTTTTTTTCCTTTTTCAAATTTTTGTCGCTGGGATCTGTACCTCCTTCCCCTTTCTTTTCCCCAAGAATGGCTCATTTATTTTTTCAAACAATGCTCATCTTTACTCAATTAATTGGTTTCTGTCTAGACCAGGTTATGGTTTTGGGACTGCAATTACAGTTGGAACATGAATCAGAGCTATCGAGACTTCATGGAGTGGCGAGGTCAGAAACACGTCTCATCTGATTCAGAACATGAAATGCAAGTAAAATTGATTCTGGGAGAAACTGTGCATGCACTGGAAGAAACAAGAAATCGAGACGTTGATCTCCCACTCCTGTCCATTCTTCAGATCATTTGTTGTCGTAATGTAGCAGATCGATATGGAATTTTTAGGTCTGGTTGGATAGTTTGTTAGTCGTTGAAGTTGATGTGGCATACTATCTTGTACTGGGTGGGTCTGCCTTCGATCATTAATAGTAACCTACTCTGATGAATCATTCAAATTGTTCTGCAGTAGGTTTTGGTATTATGTGTAAAAATTTCTTTTCTACTTTAGTTTACAAAAGCGATTAACAGCAGTATTAAGATGATCATCTTGGTCCAAACTGTTTATAGATAGATGTTGTTCGCTAAAACACGGGACAAGCTCCCGCGTCTACAATAGATCCTGCAGTTTCAGTTTTGACACCAGGGGCTACTTGAGCTAAAGCTCCTGTTAAAATCGACGAAATCAAGTCATTTTTTAAAAAATTAGAGAAACTTTTAATTGAAGATAGATCCGGTCTAGGATTAAAAGATAAGCAAATAATCTAAAAGATTGAAGAACTTATCTCTAAACAAGAATCCAAATTTGGACCATCTCAAGTAATAGTTATAAACTAAATTTTTGATAATTTAGAAACCAATAGCTCAGAAAGTTCACCTGATTCTGAAATTGAAAAATTAGAAGAATAGTTTGATAAGCTCAAGTTTAACAAATTAACTTTTTTAAAAGTTAATTCAATCAGTACTACAAAAAATAGGTACACCAACAAGCTTTAGAACTCAGTTTAGACCCTTACCAGGGGCAAGAAGCAATCAGAAGAGAAAGCCCAGCCCCCTTATTAGTAGCCGAAGTATAGGCTTGCATGAGATCAAAGTCACTTGTCGTCGGTTTTTATCTGTTTAACAAAGGCTATCGATATTCACTCACTTCTTCCTTTATACAAGTATTCTTCTTGAAATTGTTTTGTGACTGAGTGGGGTAGTAATAGTTACTCAATATGTGTGTGTGTATATATATATATATATATATATATATATATGAAATTTCAAAATTCAAATAATAGATAAATATTAAAAGGAATATTGAAAGTCTCACATTCTAATCTTGAAAGTCTCACATTCAATTAGGTATGCATTATTTATAGTAAGAGTAAAAAAACTTTTATGACTTTTTTTTAATATATGTATTTCTATCCCAATTATTTTAAAAAATGTATTTTTATTCTATTAAATTTTTTAGGAGGTACCGGACTCTCTAATCCCTTAATAAAATTGTATAAAAATTTAAGTTGGGGCCCCAAAATTTTTGTCCCATTTGGGGGCCCTAGGCAATGACCTTAATGACTTAGTGCATAGGCCGGCACTGTTAAATACTTGGGTTCAAGTCTCACTAGTTACGACAGTTCGGTGGATTAAACCTACTTTTTAACGCATTAGAGCACACGGTGAGACTTTAGCTTCTGCCCGATGTAGGTGCAATGGGGTTTACTATAGATAACTGTGTAGGACTGAAAGACACTATTTTTTGACAAATATATGAAGTGATTTATTTATATATCTATAATCCATTTCATGTACCAAAAAAGGAGCTGTACAACTTTATGGCGAGGGAAAGACCAAAAAAAAAAAATCATGGTGAGGTTAAACTTTATGGTGTTGGATCCTCTCAAATTCAGCTCAGGGTTGTGACTTTTTCTCGCAGTCCAATTCCAATAATAAAAAAGCTTGATCCAAATATTGAAATTTTTTAAATTGAGTTCGAGTTGAATTCAAATTAACCACTGAAATTGCATTCTTAAAAATATGTTTAAGAAGATTGGTAGAAATCGTATTTTGGCCCCTGAACCTTCCATCATTTCAATCTGCTTGTAAATCTAGAAATCATATTTTGGCCCCTGAGCCTTGCATCATTTCAATCTGATTGTAATTCTAATGTATTAGTTTAAGTGGTAACATAAACAAGATTTATAATATGGACAAGCTGTAAATTCAAATATTTTAAATTGAATATTGGCTCTTCTTTGGGGCTAGACAGTAAGGTATACTCTTATAAACATTCATACCATAGTTCTGATGTAGATAACATATTTTTGATCGGACAAGAGAGTGGATAAATCGAGATGTGTATAAGATGGTCTAGACACTCCATGCATGTTAAATTATAAAAAAGAAAAGAAAAAAGAAATTGGGTTCAATTAAGTCCTCAGGCATTTTCAATTTTGACCCAAATTCAAACTTAAATTTGAATAAAAAAGTGGCTAAAAAAATTGATTTAATATAAGACATTTTAATGAATAAATTTAAATTTTCAAAAAAAAGTAAGATATAATCATTAAATCTTTTAAAATAGTAAAATATGATCACATAAGATTTAAGTAAAAGTTTGACTCTGAATTTGAGTAAACTATTCATTTGGTATACGTTTGAATTGAATCTATTTTTACTCAAAATTTAAATGTGAGTGAGGAAGAGTGTAATTCCTGTGTTTCCTTCCCTCTACTTGCAAGGTTTGAACTTTGGGATGTTCTTGGCTGTGACTCATTCATGAACTTCGAAACTAAGGACTCGTAGAGTTGATGACACTAGTCACTCGTTCCTTCTTTGCCAAACTCCTCCAATACACCCACCAGAAAAATCTCCCAAACGGCAAGTCACTCCACGCCCAAATCATCAAGACCGGCTCTTCCTCTTGCATATACATCTCCAATAGCCTCGTCAACTTCTACGCCAAGTCCCACCACTTAACCGAAGCCCACCTTGTATTCGAAGAAATCGAAGTTAAAGACATAGTCTCATGGAACGGCCTCATCAATGGCTACTCTCAGATGGGGACTCCCAAATCTTCATCCTCAGTCATGAAACTGTTCAAGCTTATGAGGAAAGAGAATACTTTCCCCGATGCCCACACTTTCGCCGGATTTTTTTCTGCGGCGTCGATTTTGATGGACCCGTTTTGTGGCCAGCAAGCTCATTCACTTGCCATCAAAACAGCTTGTTGTTCCGATGTATTTGTGAATAGTTCTTTGTTAAACACGTATTGTAAATGTGGCCTTGTTTGTGATGCGCGTAAAGTGTTTGATAGAATGCCCGAGAGAAATTCGGTTTCTTGGGCTACGATGATTTCTGGGTATGCTATGCATCGGTTTGCTGGTTATGCTTTGGAGGTTTTTAGGATGATGACGTTGGAGGAAAAGGAAGATGTGAATGAGTTTGTGGTAACTAGTGTTCTTAGTGCTTTTACCTTGCCAGAATTTATTGATATTGGTAAGCAAATTCATTGTCTTGCTGTGAAAAATGGGTTGTTATCAGTTGTATCAGTTGGAAATGCTGTCGTTACCTTGTATGCAAAGTGTGGAAGCTTAGATAACGCGCTGCAAATGTTTGAGATTTCGAGTGAGAAGAACTCCATTACGTGGTCTGCGATGATCACTGGGTATGCACAAAGTGGCGATGGTGAGAAGGCATTGAAAATGTTCTCGGATATGCATTTTTCTGGGATGAGGCCTAGTGAATTCACTCTTGTTGGGGTGCTCAATGCTTGTAGTGATGTTGGTGCTACTGTAGAAGGAAAGCAGTTGCATGGCTATTTGATAAAGTTGGGTTTTGAATCTCAGATATATATTATTACGGCGTTAGTTGATATGTATGCTAAATGTGGCAATGTGGGTGATGCTCGAAAGGGGTTTGATTATCTACAAGAACCTGATATTGTTTTGTGGACCTCCATGATTGGAGGGTATGTTCAAAATGGGGAGAATGAAATTGCTATGAGTTTGTACTGTAGAATGCAAATGGAGGGTATGGTGCCCAATGAGCTGACTATGGCCAGTGTCCTAAAAGCCTGTTCGAGCCTTGCTGCTTTGGAGCAAGGAAAGCAGATCCATGCCCATACTATTAAGTATGGGTTTGGTCTTGAAGTTCCGATTGGAAGTGCTCTCTCAATTATGTATGCAAAGTGTGGGAACCTTGAAGACGGGAGCGTAGTCTTTCGGAAGATGCCTACCAGGGATGTCGTGTCATGGAACTCTATGATTTCTGGTCTTTCTCAAAATGGTTGTGGCTGTGAGGCGATTGAACTTTTTGAGGAGATGAGACTGGAAGGCACAAAGCCTGATTATGTTACTTTTGTGAACATTCTCTCTGCATGTAGCCACATGGGCTTGGTAGAGAGAGGTTGGATTTATTTCAAAATGATGTCTGAAGAATTTGGTATAGTCCCAAGATTAGAGCATTATGCATGCATGGTTGATGTCCTGGGCCGTGCTGGGAAACTCAACGAAGTGAAAGAATTTATTGAATCAGCTACCATTGATCACCATCTGTGTTTGTGGCGTATTTTGCTAAGTGCTTGCCGGAACTATCGTAATTATGGTTTGGGAGCCTATGCAGGCGAGAAACTAATGGAGTTGGGTTCACAGGAATCATCTGCTTATGTGTTGTTGTCAAGTATCTATACAGCGTTGGGCAGAGGGGAAGATGTAGAGCGGGTAAGAAGGATGATGAACCTTCGAGGGGTAAGTAAGGAGCCTGGATGTAGCTGGATTGAGCTGAAGAGTGTGGTTCATGTGTTTGTTGTTGGAGACCAGTTGCATCCACAAATTAAAGAAATTCGTACTGAGTTGCGACAATTAAGCAAGTTGATGAAGGATGAAGGTTACCAACCTGCTTCTGATTTGATTTCAGAAGGTTTTGAAGGATGAGATAACAAACAATTTATAGACGAGAAGATACACCTGTTTAACATAGTTATTAGCCAATAATATCATTCATTTTTTTCTTGATATTCAATGCAACACATATGTGATGACCCCTTTAGTTTTTTACCTCAAGCTTTACAAATGACGTACAAACACACTCACACAAACACATAATATGGACAAAAACTGATCTAATTTTTCAAGAAATAGCATTGGCAACTTTGATCTCTATCACTTTTTATCAATTTTTAGCACACAATACATGTCTCTGGATGTCGGATGATTGTATGAACATTATATTACAGATGGCATGGGAAGCACCTTGTTCTGGTAGAAGTTCTCCTCTTACTCCATTAGAAACTGTTCCTAATTGTTGATTTATCATTGGCTTCGTCAACATGGACCGACTGCTGCGGCCTTCGGAAACCTAGAATACATTTCCTTCCTTTTCTATCGTCTTTAAAATCAATGCACATTGATGTTAGGCTGACCAAGCTTAAACCAGAGGACAGCAAATTGGTTTTCTACTGTAGCTACGCTCCATGGTCTAATAGAGAGATGGGTCACAACTTGGCATGTATTGAAAGTCCAGGGAAGTACCATCAGTAACATGTTCTGTATGATTTGTGAGTGCTTGTCTTTTTGTGGGCATGGTTCATCCCTATAGATTTTAAGACAGGATTTAGCCATCAGCAAAGTGGCTATGTCGCAGCTTTCTAGTGTTCCATGCACAGTTTGGTGTCATTATTTCATGCAAAAGCTGCCCATGTTTCCTATTAGTTAGATAATTAAAGAAATTAGTGATTGTGGGTTCCTTGATGCCACTCGCTTGCTGGACGGTGATTATCGGATGCCAATGCATCCTAGTGGCGCTAAGCATATAAGGATACAGGGTTTATCAATGTCTGGAGAACACTTGGTAAGACTTTGTCTAATAGACTTCAAGTGGTTATTGCACTGAGTGGAGGGAGCTTATAGAATTTGAGGTGGTTGTGACCATTAGTTGTTTGAGAGCACCCAAAGTCTGGGGATGGTGCTTGTTTGGACATAGTCCCTGTTCCTGAATGAAGACAGAGATCCTTAGGCAGATTCTGGACCAGCAAAATGTCTCCTTGCCTCCAGAATGTTTGTCTTTCTCGAAGTTTAGGTTTCTGTACGTGGAAGGATAATGTAGATCCCTGCAAACCTATTTCTCGATGTTGATTTACAGAATGAGGTTTTGTTAAGGACAGTGAGGTGGCATAACATCTTCCAGATGCCCATCCGAAGTGCCAACATTTCTTTCTGTGACCGAGAGGCCAGCATTTGCCTGTCGAGCTTAGGATTTATTATCTGTCCCGCTCAGTACTCTTCAATATGCAGCTCCGTTTTCATTTAATCAGTGTGCAGAACATGTAGTTGCTTTCACTGCAGATGCATTGAGGATTTTCACTTTTCACCATTGAGGGATTGGCAGAACATTTAAGAAACTGCGACTCTCATTATGATGGTAAAGATGATTGGCTTCTGATTAGCAGTATGGTTATCCTATGCCGATGCTGCAAGAAAGTTGCTCCTCTCTTGTATGTTTCCAGTTCGGAAGAAGATTACTATTTGCAGTGGGACACTTACCAACCTTTGTATGTTTTTGTTGTGATGGGATTTATAAGGGTGACAATCCGGAGGTATGTTCTCTGTGCAGTGTTAGTTTTCATATGTTATCGGTAGTCCTTATGAGTCGTTACTCTGTTTACTTCTAATTTTATGTATAATCCGTTGGAGGGCGCATCCATTATTCTTCTTTTCTGTGAATATGTTTAGAGGGCGCTTCAGGTATTTATGTCTATGGGTTGCCAGTTGCTAAGTGGTTAAGTTTTTGGAAAAGTTTGATCCAATATATGGGCTGTTAGTTATCTGTGGAGGGGTCTTATCTATAACTTATTTTGATTTCTAACCACAGCTGAAAAGCACAATGAATTCTTCTCACCAAAATACCCAGGAATAATTGAAGAGACCTAGTTAGAAGTAAAACCCAGTTTATTAAATTTGAGGATGATTGGCTATTCTCTATCTACGTTTGTTGTTTATGAAAAAAAGTTGACCATAATATATTTAAATTGCTGTGGCTGTTTTGGCTTTTCTTTGCGGAAGAATATATATGCATTGGAGTGCACACACGCGCATGTTTGCACTTGGGCCTTAGAGTCATCTTTATATTTTTCAATTGTAATGTCTGAAAGAGTTGATTATATGGAGTGGATACAGAAAATAAATTGATGGTCTACTCCTATGCATGAGTTGTTATTTAAGACATAGACTTTAATATTTTAGGTTTGCCTTATTTAAATGTGGAAATCTCCTGGTTGTCACTTTCTTTTCCGAATAGATATCAATTTCCTCCCTTCCGAAGTTGTGATATTTGCATCATTTGTTGTTTGTTTACTTCAAGGGCATGTAAGCATCCTGTTGGAAAGAGAAGATTTTGGTCTGAACATTTCTTCTAGTTTTATATAGTAGTTTCACTTGAAAATTTAGGAGCACTATACTCTTTTGCATATCATTATCCTGTGTGCTTGCAATTGAAAGACTAGAGATAGAACACTAGACTATCAAAAGACAAGCATAGGATTAAAGAACTAGCCAGTGATCAGATAACTCAAGACAATAGCAGCAAAGAGTTACTGTCATAAGAATTGGAGAAAAGTTCAAATGTGAGCTAGAATTCTGACGCTCCTGTTTGGTGCTGCCAAGGATTACACAGTATGAATTCTAAGTCACGTCCTGTTTAAGGCATGTTGTTAGCCTTTTAGATTACTTCCTTTTGGTATAACTGTGTGCAGTTAATATAAAATTATGTTCTAAAATATAGGTCTAAAAGGCTTGATACTGCAAATTTTTTGTGGATCTTTTTGTTGGAATACAAGAATATACTTGCTGTTACAGTATCTGGAATTAGACTAATTGCTGGGGATCTGTGATGAACATGTCATGAAGTGCGGTAGCACATAATGCAGATTTTAAGAGTTCTCGTGCTCAAGAGGCCTGCATGTGGATGCCCCATCAAGGTAAACAACTATATTTTCAGAAAAACCATTGTAGATGATTTATAAATTCAGCTAAATGAATATGAATCATAAGGCAAAAAACATAACCGGAGCTTTTTAACATATTATTTAGTTTTCACTGACATCACTAGCATTGGAAAATCACACACATATAATAAGGCACAGTAAGGGGTCCATTTCACTAGTTAAGTAGCCAACTACCTGTTCTGTATCAACTTAACCATTACCTAACACACCATGATTATTTTATTGTGCTTATTGCTTGATCCATTAGAATACTCGAGCACTTCTAAGTATATGACATGACTTATTGGTCTCAGATTCGTTTTATCTTTCTGTCAAAAAATGTCAGATTTTTCTTCTTTAGTTGTTAGATCATACCTAAGGAGTTGGTAACCTTGGTGTGGAACTTAAACAAAGAAATCAGTGATTAAGAAGGGTCCCTCTGTTGTTGAAGTTTGTTATTCTAAAACTGTTTTATTATTTACTTAACTTTGTATTAGTTATGGCTTACCTAGGTATGACATATGAATATATGGTTGCCATATCTCCACCATTTAATAATTTGATGATCAAGTTTCTGCTTGTTTGATTATTGCCTGCAATATTCCATTTGAATTCTTGGGAAACTCTTCCACATTAGGGATCTCAAGTTGTTCTTATTTAATGAAATTTTGCTTCTGAATGTCAATTGTGTTTGTTAAAACTTTATAATTAGTCTTCTCGCATTTAACTTTTGCATTGTTTGCTGATATAGGTTATGAAAAAAATATTCTCAGAAATTCTCTTTTCCAGAGGTAGGGAGAGGGGGTTCGAACCCACATCAATGGCATTGGGGGCTGGCCGAGTCATTCGCGTACACACATTGTAAAGACCTCCATGCACCGGAGACCTGCATGTGGAGTTAATATTCAGTGTAACAGTGATACCATTCGATCATGCTGAAATGATTCAATGACTCATCAAACACTTCTTATTGCAGCTTTAAAGGATTTGTTACTCTATTGTGGGCATCAATAAAATGGAGCTTTATCAGGATACAAGCTTTGTTTTGCTGGAGTTTGCTACAAATAAACTGTCATTTCCCAGTTTTTGTTCTCTCTCCAACCTGGAGTTACCTAAGGCAACTCTCTGATCTAACCAATTGATAATGTCTGAAAACACAATGTCAATGTTTTCAGGTAACTCGCCGTAGGAGAGAGAATGCCACATGCCCTTGTACAACTCAAAGGTCTTGTCGGAGCTGGAAGCTGTTTCATACAGGAGTTTGCTAACCGATGGATCAGTCACTTTATCATCTCCTCCATGGACTATCAGAAATGGTAATGAGACCTGTACAGGTACACACAAACATGAATTCATTAGAAAACAGAGAGGATGTAACAATACCCAAAATATTATTTTACTACGATAGGTTAACGTGTGATTGTCACAAATTATGTGAAGTTCGGCCTACCACAACCGTTCGATGAGAATTGATTGATAAAGATCTATATTGCGAAGTTGATGAGTTCAAATTTGCGTGGACACGAAATCTTGGTAGTATGATTTTCATCGTGCCGTCTATGGGTAGTTGAAATTTCACGCTCAAAAGTTTTGACCCTAATTCAAGAATCCAATCATAGTTTACACCCAAAAATAGCAAAATTTGATGATGATATGGAAGAGATTCATCAATTATGAAAGAGTCTGTGAGAGTCTATACTTGACAGAACGGTTAAAAAAATAGGATTCTAAGAATCTTGAGAAGTGGGGAGACGTGATATTATGAGCCGTCAATTGGAATTGGTTCAGTGCACATCTATACATCTCGAGGGAAAGACCAGAATTACAGTCATGGTTGGAAAGTAGGATGACTTCGACAATAGAACGTCGTCCCTATAAATAATAAAGGCAAGACTACAAAGAGAGGATCTACAATCAAGCACAACGAACTCTACATAGAGCCAACCTCTTGTTTTTTTACTTTTGTGCAATTTTACTTTTTCGTGTGATTTATTGCTCTGCTAATCCTTATTGTTTTCTTTTAATGTTAAATACAATATTTATTTCATCTTCCAAACTTAGTTATTTGTTGCTTTGTATTCTAGTTTTTCTTTCTACATTCTAGTCTATTATGCCGTTAGTTAAAAATTATTTAAAATCTTTAAACTCTAACGTATAGAAAAGAATTCAGATGTAACTTTATGTCTTGTTACAATCACTTGAACAATCACGATTTTAGAATTTTATATTGGTTCGGATAGGTAAAATCATTCGTGTTTAAATCTTAAATCCAATTGAACTTTGACACGTTCGCAATCCAAAAATATGTCACAACCATAGCAAGATACGTATTATAATGTAATTAAATGAAAATGCTAGCTAACCTCTTGAAGTCTTTCCTCTAGATCTAAGCTGACTTTTACCAGTTGGTAGCCAGTTTGCAATCGCGGCCGTCCTTTGTAGCAATATGGGTTGGACCGGATCTGTTATGGTCCAAAAAATAAATAAACAAATAAATAAGAGAATATACACCCTGTATTTTTTTTTTTTTGATAAATTAAACTTTGCATCTTTGAACTACGGTCTTCATCTTATCGACTATTGAGTTTTTCACATTGTCCATTTAATTATATAAAATGGTGTCATACTGCTCAAAATTTGAAGTTGGTTATATGTTGAATGAAAAATATTCATGTGTTACTAGATAAAATGGTAAAGTAAGAGAAAATCCGATGATTCGGAGGATAAAGTGGCATAATTTTACATCCAATTTGTAATAAGTTTCTCTAATGATGGAAAACTTAAAATTAATAATCATATTTTTATGTACAATTTGAAGGATATTATAGTTGAGCGGCAATGAGAGATGAGGCACAATTTGGGGGTTTAGAGTGTAATTTAATCAAAATGTTTTTCCACAATGAAAAATAATGAAAATTAAGTCACATGTTCTCAGATTTATTGTAAAGAAAAAATTACACTAAATTCAAAATTTTTCCCCACGTCCAAAAACTCTCCATTCTTTTTCTCAAGAAAAAATGACATGAAGAGTGTCTTCGTCTCTTTTTAGAATTCGAGATCATGTCATTTGCAAATAAATGTTTTTTTTTTGTCAAAATTAGCGACTTGACTTAATTTACATATTCAAACTTTGAGGGGATAAATTGTTGAAATTAAAATCAAAGAGATTTGATTGAATGTGACCTAAACTTAAAGGGGGCCCTTTTTAATTAACCCTAAAAACAATACTCTTCAAGGTCTTGGCAAGATTAATTATAGGGTATGAAGGTAAATTTAGGAAACCCAAATGAATAGCCTGGTCAACTTAACCTATTGATCTAATTTATTGAATTAATTCACTACAACAATTAAATTGATTAGATCAGTAAATTATGTCAAATTTTTAAGTCCAAATAGCATTACTCTACCCTAAATGTTGCATCTCCGCCAAAAGATAACTCATAAACAAGAAAAAAAAAAAAAGATTGGAGAGAGAATGAAGGGATTTATTATATTTATACCTCCTTTCTTATTTCAGGATCTCTAAAGGCAGCATCAATGACATCTGGAGTTGGAATAATTTTCCAAGTTGGGATGATATGGCAAAGCTTTGTGAAAACACTGATGACCATTGGATGTGGCTTCATATCATCTGCAATCTGCATTTATATATGGAAAAAATAGCCACCCTAAAATAATTCAATTTAGAAGATTTTTAAATTTCACATCTATAAAGAAACTAAATTTAAATGAGTTTCTTTGAGAAAAAAAAAATTCAAGAAAGGTTTTTTCTCCTTTTTTTTTTTTCATCAAATTGTTTGAATGATGAAATGGTTTTGAAGTGAAAATGGTAATTCTTAAGAACAGCGTACAATTGAGACGATCTATTAAGTATTTTGATTATTTATAGGTTATGTTTTTCACTAAATTACTAAGAATATTGAATACAAATTTTGATAACACCCACCAAATTTGGGCATTTAGGGTTCTTTTTAAGATATTGGGATCTTCTTTTATTTTATTTTTTTGGATATAGGGTTTTCAATATTGTACCGACTATTTCGTCGAATTCAAATATTAGAATCTGATTATGTACAAATTCTTTTCAATTCTCGACCCGTCCTATTTTGATGAAAAACTAAGTAAAATACACGACGCGTGCCACTTGATTTCAATAATTTAGTGGGTCCTCCGTAACTACTCCAACTCGATAGGAATTAATATAACAAGTATAAACTTCCTTTTCGATGTAGTTATAATAATCCTATTTTATTTCAACCAAACGTGTTTTCTACTTAAAAAAGGCACGAGAGAGAGAGAGAGAGATAGAGACATACCTTACACATTGGTGCAACCAAGACCCCACCATCCCAATAGACAGGCTTCTTCCTGTGTAAGAGAAGAACCATAGCTCCTCCCATTGATTCTCCCAGCAAAATTCTCATCTTTCTCTTGTTCTCCTTCCTTTCTGCTTTCATTCAAATCAAACCCACAAACAAGTTACAATCTAATAGTAATCATAATCAATAATAAAAAAAAAAAATACATTAATGTCATAATAATGACAACAATGTTATTGTGTTCTTCACAAATACTCAAATCACAATTACATATTCATAAAACGACATAAGAACAAAAACTCGGAATTCAAGGTCTTGCTTAGTTTATATTTCAGAAATTGTTTTTTGGGAAAAAAGTTGTTTGACCATTTTTTTTTTAAAACAAAAAATGAGAACAAAAATTGGATAAATTTAGAGAACAAGTTAGAACTGTCTTGTGTGTTTTTTAAAATAACTTTTTTCAAAATTTAGAAAACACCACCATCACCACGTCTACCACACCACCACCACCACCACCACTACCATACTTCCACCACCACCACATTTTTGTTTTCATTGTTTTTTAGGTTACTGTTTAAACAAATTTTACTGTTTTCTATTCCATAAAATTGTTTTTTGGAATTATATAACCAAATAAGTTCTACGACACAAAAAAATACCAAAAATAATTTTATGAAGTTTTTCCTAAAAATAATTTTCGGATATTATTTTGTTAAGAAGAAATCAAATAGAGCCCAAGTTTTGACTTTTTGTCTTTCACAAATTTCGTGATGGAATAAGCACATCAAAATCAAAATGAAAATCTTACCACAAATGCTTGTAAAATGATCAGAGCAGTCGGTAACAAGATCATCAAAGTTATGGATATAACCCTGAAGTCCAGCTGATTTTCCATGGCCTTCATAATCAATCCCATAGACTGCAAATCCTGCCTTAGCAAGCCGAGTTGCCGCGCCTGTTTCAATCATCTTCATGTTAATTACCAGCTTTGTGTTTGTTTATATCATTGGAATCAAATTAAGGTTTTTTCGTGTTTTTCGCTGATAATTTACTGACCTTTCATGGAGATGCTACACTCCATGGCGTATCCATGGCACAGAAAGATCAAAGCTTTTGGCTCACAGTTTGTAGGTAGCCATCTGCACGTGAAAAGCTTCATTCCTCGAGAATTCAATATGAATTCCTGTAATAGTAAAGAGAGAAGGAGAGAGAGATCATGCCAAATTTCAAAAAATTTAGACGTGAGAGCAAAATAATCATAAATAGTAGAAAAGAAAGAACAGTTGAATCAGTTACCTCTTCATATCTGATACTTCCAATCTCACTCGCCTGAACAAATACAAAAACACAAAGATCAAACAAAGAAACTAAGGATGAGAGAGATGACATATACATATACCTATACGTACATATATTTCAGGAGAGAGCGAGAGAGAAAAATACCATAGAAGGGAGCTATCAGAAACAGCTTTGGGCTTGGGTTTGAGGTTATTCTGAGAAGAAAAGAGAGAGAGAGAGAGAGTAGAGAAAGTTGTTATTGTATGGATATGGAAAGTTTCAAAGATATATATATATATATCAAGAAATCTATCAATTGGGAAACAAAATAGGAAATGACTGAGAGTTTTAGAATCTGAGAAGTGAGAAGATGAAGGAAGAGTGGGAGTACATAGGAAAAGAGGGTTGAGGACTGGATCTCTATTTATATGGATGGGAGAACAAACCAGTTGTACAGGAACCACTTGTCTTTGGAGCTGTGGCCAGTGGTATTTAGATGTGCATAATTATAACTGTAATTTCTTCTTTTTTTATTGTTTAACTATTAAAATAATTATTTTTTTGTATTGATCGTTATATTGTCCAACTAAAATACCCATATTAGCCAAAAAAACCAAATACGAATTACAACCCAGTATGATGTGTCCGTTAGCTGTAGAATAAGATTGGGTTGATAATCGAACTAAATTACTTGGACTCGGTTAATAGCCAAACTTGAATAATGAACTCAATTGGAACTTGAAAAATTCGTCTCGATGACACATTTTTAGTGGTTAAAAAATAAATAAATAAAATACATCAGAAATTTGCTCTGACAATATTGATCGGGTCCGGCTCCTTCATATAGCGTGGGTGTTGTTTTCAAAACGGCGTTATTTGACACAAACAACGACACCCCCACTGTACAGCTCCAGCAGAGGAGCTGTGCTCGCATTGACCAAGCCTGCGCGTGACAAGTATTATGATCACAATAACAAACGCGCGGCTATTTAGGACAGCGACTAGTTTGCTACTACTTGCTTATCTTTCCTGAATAATAGCCCACGCGCTTTAAGATACCGTTAAATTCGGGCCATTTAATTAGTATAAACTTGGGTGTATGTAACAATCTCTATGACACCATTAAATTATTATTAAAGAAATAGAGAGTCCAACGATCGATTGCAATTTGCAATTTGCAACTTGTTTAGGTCAAAAGAATTTAGGGTTAGAGGTTTTTTTTGTTTTTTTTAAAATTTTTCTGGGACCCACAAGGTTTGATCATTAAATTACACTAATAATTACTTCACATGGAAAAAATAATATTTTCACGTAGAAAAATGAGCTCGATAAATTTAACTAAACTTAAGAAATTCGGTTCGCTTATTAACTTAATCTTCACCATCTAAGATTTGATTTCTTGAAATATAAAACTCTGATGTTTGAGAGACCATCAAATTCTAATATCAATCTGTTTTTTTGAATCATAAATTTACAAATTATTCATGGGGGATCCATTATCACAGCTTATGGACCATATATATATTCTTAGGTTGGGCCAGGTTTTATAATTTTACCTACATTACAATAGTAGTGGTTTATAGTGCATAGGGGTGCAATTTAGATTGGCCAATCCAAACCCAACACAAAAAAAAAAAAAAAAAAATTGGGTTGAGATTTTTACCGTTAGGGCTAGGATTAAAAAGTTTCAACCTGAATGGAATTCGGACAAGACTCGAATTCACGAGTTTAACCTGAATTCAACATAAATTGATAAAATCGGGTTTAACCTGAGTTCAACTCAAATTCATGTATTTTTTTTTATATAAATATAATATTAATACATATATTTATAATAATAATAATAATTATTAATTAAAGAGGGAGTGAAACATGATTTATAATGACCATAGATGGTGAAAGAAATTTATACAACTGATGTGCGATAACTAAAAAAGGCAAAAAAAAAAAACCTCTCCATTTTATAAAAAATGTTCACCTTTATACCCTTAATAAGTTATCTTTATGCCTTTAATAAGTTATCTTGATAAGTTTCATCTTAGTAGGCCAATAGTCCAACATTGTACAAAGAATCACACCTAATTTAGGATTATTGTTTGTTGAGCTCAAATTGGGAAACCCAATTTCAACCTAAACTTGCTTGAAATCAACTCGAGCAATACTTTGGTTGAGGTAAAGTTAGGGTTAGAGTTCAAGATTTTATACTTAGGGTTGAATTAAGTTTGATTCCTCAACTCGTCCAACCTGCCCAAATTACACCTCTAATAGTGCATGAATTTAGTGTCTAATCTATCACAATTGTTGGATTGATAATGGATTCGAAAGAATATTAGGGGTCCGCTATCAATCCAATAATTATAAATAATTAGATTAATAAATTAAATTTAAGTAACATTGCTTTTTTCAATTTTGTCCACTTTTTCTTGTTGAGATATCTATATGGAGCTTCTAGTGCTTGTCTTTTTATGCACCTGTTTGTTGTATGATTTGCTTGGAATTTGGGGTGGTGAGGTGAGCAATGTCCAAATTCAAACTCAAAGACCATCACAAGTTGAAATGCCAAAAGACAGTAAGTAGTCAATGTCCTCTTGTGCTGCAGCATTTTCAACTTCATATCATCCATCCATTGCCATACAATACTTCTACCACAAAGAGCTCAATGTCCACACAATATTCAAAACTTTTGAAACTCCACTATCTTGACCTTAAATGTGTTATCCTATATTTATTTATTTTTTAAATCATGAAAAACACGAGATGATACAAAATTTGGAGCGATAACAAATAGTCATTTTACTTAAGAGAAATATCACGAGTCTGAGTTCGAAAATTAATCTCTTTGAAATGGTATGAGAAGTTGTAACACCCCGCATTTTCTTTTATATATGTATATAGATATATAGTAAATAATTGTGGTAAAAAAAATGTGGATATATGTAATGATGTGTGTTTGAATTTGGTAAATTGAAAAAATAGAGATTTAAAATGTTGTGAAAATAATAGTTGAAATTTGGTTTTAATAAGTGAAAATATGAAATTTTATGTCCTAGAACTTGTATTAAATAGGTTTGGTGTAGAATATGTGTTGGAGAGGTTTGAGATGGATTTGGTTGACTTAGGAACGAATTGAAAATGGAAAAGGGACAAAGACAGGCTGTGAACAGTACACTGCTGCAACTTCAAACTCGATTTAGACCTTGCTGTAGTCAATATCTCTCAAAACTCAAAACATGAAAGTTTTAGAGCTCTTTCGTATCATTCCATAGCATCTTGAATCATCTCAATCGGAGCTTGGATGAGAGAGTTATGCTCAGATAACGAAACGATGTCGAAATAGTCCAATTAGTTTCATTTTGCATTTAATGTCTCTATTTGCATTCTAAATCAAAATATAAGAATAATGAGTACTTTTAGGCTTCAAATAAGTATAAAAGGCTTTAAGAAACACCATTTATCACCTTTTATTTGCGAACATCACAAAACTTCATTAATAGCCGATTTAGATGGGTAAAATAGAAATTTTAGTGTTTCAGGTGTACGTTGACTTGAGTTTTGAGATAAATCATAAAAATAAATATTTTTAGGTTAAAATAACATTAAAAATGAATTCGGAACGTCGACAAACCTTAGGATAGTCATATGGATCAAATTAGAGATTCTTAGTGGCAAAATCATAAATTTGGAGAAACTCAAAACAGCCTGTGAACAGTGTTTTTCGGGGCTGCTATGTTTTAAACTCATTTTCATCTCATTTGCTCTCATTTTCTTCACTCCCCTCACACCTCCACACCTCTTGAAACCCTAGAGGGCATTAGAGAAGAAGAAAGGAAGGGAAAAATAAGAGATTCAAGGGTGATTCAAGATCAAATATTCTTGTTCTTCACTCCAATGCTAAGGATTCAAGGTAGGAGTTTTCTCTCATTCACTTAAATTGAGGCTAGGGTATTTATATATGTATGTTTTGACTATCAATGGTATATATATGCTATGGAATCATCCTCTCTTAGGCTTTTTGCAAGGATTACATGTTTTGAACAAAGTAGGGTTTAATACCCATGAAATCTCCTTTCTAGTTTTAAAACCCTAATTTTTGGAGAGTGATGTATTTCCTTCCTAAATGTTTTCTTTATTATGGATTTCAAAACCTTAGTGCTTTGTGTTGGATAGAAAAATGATGTTATTGTGATCTCATGTATTTTCTTAGTTGGTTGTGGAATTGTTATATGATATATTTTAGAGATTTTGGATAGATGCTTGTAAATTGAAATAAATGTTGTAATTGTATGTTTGGTTGGATCGTTTGTGATACATATGAGTGAGAGATTCCTTGTAAGGATGCTCACCCCTTCTCAAGAGGTTGCTGGTAAGGATGCTTGAAAAGTAATGTAGTGATTGGTGAGAGGTTTCATGTAATGATGCTCATCCATTTTCAAGAGGTTCCCGATAAGAATGCTTGAGAATCAAAGGTGACCTAAAGGGGGGTGAAGGTTACCACAAAGTATGCCACCTACCGAAAGAATTGTTGGAAATTGGTTATGACAATTAATGGTTATTATTTGAGTAATGTTTATTCATTTAAGTAATGTTTTTAAATAAACTTGAGATCCTTTTTAAATGTCACTGCTTTATTTCAAATTATGTATCTATTTTATGTTAAAATTGAGACCGATCGTTTTAAATGCTTTTCTAAATCTTGTATGAGTTTGAGAGAATTTTTCTACAGAGCTTCGTGCTCACCTCCTATCGCTAACATTTTTCAGATTACCCGTTTGAGGAGGAGGACGTAAGGGTCGAGGAGCCCGCTACTTGGGAGACTCCACTGGACGGGAGTGTGGATCCCGAGGTGGACGCATAAAACGACCTCCTTTTTTTTTTGTACTAGACTAGAACATTCTTTTGAAACATTGTGTAGTCTAACTTCTTTTGTTTATTCCGCTGCGCTTTTTTAATTAATTTTTGAGATGTAATAGCCATGACTTGAGTTTATTCTTTTGGATAATGTTGTAAATATTTGTGGATGACAAATGAAGTCTGTTTCTTAAGAGATTATATTAGTGCTCTCATGATATGAATAATTTTAAAATATAATATCATTTAGAGTGTGTTTTAGAGCGTTATAGAAATAATATTAAGCATATTTTTATCGAATGAAAGACTATATAAGCGTGTCTTGACCATCAACTTTGTTGGATGTGATAGATTTAGCTTGTGACTTATGGGAGTGATGCGAACATTATTAATGAACATGCTTGTCCAGTTAAGCCTGCAGTCATGGCTGACTTGGAAACATTTTCATATGCTTTGTTTCTTTTGCATTTCAAGGATATGGTACGTATCGTTTGTGATATTATATCAAAAATTATAATATTTTAAAATTAAGTTATAATTTTTTTGAAGAATAAGTTATGGAGGATAGAGATTGATACCGAAAATTCATGATCGATTATGGAGGGTTGAAATCGATACTAAAAGTCCATGATCGATCATGGACGTCTGTGATCGATCAGGACCTTTTCTTGAACAGTTATAATTTCTCTTTTTAAAAGTGTAACTTCACTATAAAAAATTATAATTGAAGGTACGATACAAATTTTTTTTTCTAATACCGTAGACTTCTCCTAAGATTCAGATTCACTTTATTAAACGTCTTGAGTTTAAATCTTGACAAATTTATAAAGATTTATCCCTCATAAATATCTTAGTCTGGACGTTAATAGTCTGTCTTTGATCGAAAAAACAAATTAATTGAAAACTGATTTGAAGATCCTGACCGTTGAAAAAAAAAACATATGTATAATCTTTTCTTGGTTTCACTTGCTTGTCTACCATTATTATTTAGATATCTCCAATGATGAGGAACTTAGAATGAACTGTCGATTGGCCATTTTTGTTACCTCATCTACAGCTGTGGGTAGTTTAAGCTGCATTATTTTGTGCTACGAATAAATTGAGCTGTCCATGAATGGCTTAGGATTGGTTTCTATAAAAATTAGTATTAAGTTTGTTCATTTATTAAACAAATCATCCTTGCGATCATTTTAACTCTCGTTTAATAAATGAATCGAGTCAAAAAAATGCCATTGTTCGGTTCAATATTACTGATAGAATAAACGAAACATGCGCTATGTATGTATGTCGATGAAAGTGTCAGATTTTTGCTATATGAGAATTTGAGTTTCGGCTTTAGTACCGAAAGAGGTACGGTAATGAAATTTATTATCTTTTTTGTTCAAAAATAATCTTTTTGAGGTCAAATTACCACAAAAGAAATTAGAACTAATTTTAAAGAAATACAGGGCCTGTTTGGTTTGCATTTTAAAAAATAATATTCAAAAGCAGTTTTTGAGAAGAGTTTTAAAAAAGTAATTTTGATATTTTTTGAGATAAAAAATTTGTTTGGTTAGATAATTTCAAAAACAATTTTACAATATAGAAAATAGTAAAACCTGTTTGAATAACCTTAATATATGAACAGTAATTCAAACATTAATAAAAAAATATAAAAAAGTTATTTTTATATTGACAATTTCATAATATATATATATATACTCATATCTGAACATCCAAAATTGTTCTCGTTTTCAAAATTTTTAAAGAAAACTCTGAAAACAAACTACACTTGTTTTCTGTTTCTTTGACTCAAATCTCATTTTTTTTCCAAAATTTAGAGAACAAAAATACTAAACAAACAAATTTTGGGTGTATTTGAAATTTTGAGAACAAAAAACTGTTTCCGAATCACAAACCAAACATAACCACAATTTTTGGGATTAAGTTTTTTTCTTTTTCAAGGATCAGTTACAACTTTTAAGGATCGGTTACGAACATCTGCAAAAGTTTTAGCCGATTCCTAAAAAGTTGTATGAAATTAAAAAAAAAAACCATTTAAATTTATATATAGGTAGTTGTAAGAGCAAACCAAAAATTCTGTCTAGGGTGTGGATATTTTACTTAAAATTTTTACATTTTTTGCTCCCAACCAATAAAAATAAAATAAAATACTTAAATCTAATGCATTATATTTAATACTTAAATATTCATAAAATACAAAAAAGATCAAATGTCAATAAATATAATGTATATAAATAAATAAATAAAGTTTATTACAACCGTTCACAACAAATGAGATTAACCGCATAAAATATACTATAATCTTTCCTTATATAACCAATCAAATTATTAGGCATTGATCAATCATTCAATTTTGAAACCTAGTTTTAAAAATCTCTATAACTTAAAAAAGGCGTTTACCGTGTCAAAAACTTATCTAGATATATCTATAGCGTGTCCAAAGTGTAACAAAAAATTCATATACTATAACCCAAAGATTTTTTTTTTGGTTGTCTTCTTTTTTTCTTCAATGAGTTTTTTGTATTACTTTATTATTTATTTTATCATTGATTACGAAAATTTATAATTAAAATGATATTTTTGGGGGTATGTTATTGACTTTATTCATTGTGGCTGGTGAATTAAAAAACAAACATAGAGAGAGAGAGAGTGTGATGTGTAAGGGTGGCCATTTTTGACCCAAAAATGGGGAAACAGTTAGGCTTGACATTTTACTACTAATAGACTTGGTTTTAGCCTCTAGAAGTAGCATTAACTACATGGAGGCCTTTCTATTCTGTTTTGGGTGGGATGGGCTTCCTAGATCCCTCCCTCTACGGTGGGATATTCAAAATGGACAAAACTTAATGTCACGAGTTTCAAAATATAATACGATTCATTCATTAATAGAGGAGAGACAATCTTTTGCTTCTAGAGAGAGAAGCTCTATCTTCTCTCTACCTTTACTCTTTCCTTCTGCTTTTTTTTGGCAGATCTGTGCATTAACTATGGTTTCATCCCACCCATTGGTTCATATTTCACCAAAGCCTCTTGATCTCCTTCATATTTCAACTTCTACCCCAAAGAGCTCTTTGAATCTCCCACCCAAACCTCCAGACCTTACCCAGCACTTCGCGTCACTGTTCAAATCTCCGGCGACTAACAACAATCGTTTTCTTCCTTCGACTAAAATGGCACACCTTCCTCCCTTAACTGACCCTTTGCGTTCCAATATCACCAACCCCATGCCTCCTTTCCCTCAAGCTCGGCATCAACATGTGACTACTCAGCAACCTTCAGTAGCTTCAATCCCTCCTGTGATGGCGAGCCACCCAGCGACTAACCACACTCCCTCGCCTGAGCTAGGGACCCACATTTCTATTACCCCCACCAATATTCAGATTACACATGGGGTTAATGCGATTCTCCAATCATCCCTGAATCTCCACATCCAATCGTCATCAAATGAAACTTCAGTGGTACGTATTTTGCCACAACCACCACCTCCTCCACCTGGGCAAGGATATTCCTCTCCAGTTCCGGCATTGTCTGCCCAGAATACTCAAGGAGTCCAGAACCCCCCTGCTAGCATTTCCTTTGGCTCATTCAACTCAGCTATCACTACCAAACCTGCCAAACGAGTTGTTTTCAACAACGGGGAACCAGGCATGTACTGGTCCCAGGAGGAAACTCAGGAACTCTCCAAAAGTTTTTCTCTCACCCTGATAGGTAAATATGCCTATGGTAAGCCTTCACTGGGAGTGGTCAAAGAATTTATACAATCAAGATGGCTTCTAAAAGGGGATTTTACAGTAGGAGTTCTGGACCCCAGACATATTCTCATTCGCTTTGCTCTCTACGAAGACTATGTTAAGGTATGACTAAAAGACACCACCTACATCGAAGGCTTTCTCTTTAGATTCTTTAAATGGTTCCCAGAATTTTACCCAGGAATTGAACCCCCATTGGTCTCTGTGTGGATCTCTCTCCCTGGCTTACCCATCCATTTGTTTAACACAGAGAGTTTAAGGGATATACTAAGCCCCATTGGTCGAATTTTGGTTATTGATAATGCCACATTGAATCTCTCTAGACCTGGGGTAGTTAGAGCCTGTGTGGAAATGAACCTATTGGTGATCAATCCCATACGCTTTTGGCTTGTTATGGGGGGTATGAGTACGAGATGGCAAAAGATGGTTTATGAGAAGGAATTCAAATACTGCCTAGTTTGCCTCAAACAGGGTCATGAGGACTTTTTATGTCGAAGGAAGAAAAAGGATGAGGGGGGGCTACTTCTGAACAGAAGCCGGACCAACAGAAGGGGCCTGTCCCTGGAAATGGATGGAAGAATAGGAAAGGGAAAGCAATTGCTGTGGATGAACAGAAGGAAAATCCTAGAAAGGAATACAGACAAAAAATAGGAATTCAAGGAACAACGATTGGCAATAGCTTTGATTTATTGCATGAAACCTTAGATCCTGTGGAAGAGAATCATACTATGGAGAGGAACCACCACACCCAGCTGGATCAAGAAGTGATGAAAAGCCCAGCTTACTTGAACAATCCAAATGTGAATGACAGTCAAGATAACCAGGAGGTCCCCAGCCCTGCACCAGCTCTTAATGAAGGTGACCAACACACTTTAGAAGGACAGAAGGATACGGCGGACAAGTCTACATATCACCAGAGAACAACATCTATACAGGGCACCATTGATCCAAATAATGAAAGGGATGACTTGGTGAGTGATTCAGTAGCCCAGTCACTCCTGCAACCACTTAACATTGAAAGGAATTTACAGAAGGAACGTCTCCCTCATTCTTCTTCGGCTATGGTTAATGCAGTTGACAATAGTTTGATAGAGGAGTATGCTGAGTCTGAGAAGAGTGTGGAGATCTTTTCCTTTAGAGAATGTATTCTTGATTTAGTAGGGAAGGAGACTCCTAAAGAACAATTAGGAGAATGTCAAGCTCTTTATGCCCCTTCTCTAAACTCTTCCTTCTTGCTGGATCATGATAATGTTACAAGGCGAGGAAGCTGTGTCAGCCTTGATGATCAAATGGGATTAATTTGTGAGAGAGTCCCACCTGATAAAGGGTACTACTCAGACCAAGTAAGCTCTAGGAGCCAGAAACACACTGTGACACCCCAAATTCATGGGGTCCGTTAATTTCCCATCAACCCATGGAATGCCCGTGGATACCGTATAACTCGATATCGCACCGTTGTGTCCCATTTACCAGGATCCATAATTTAACGAAATCCGGGCAGAGTCTCCTTTGTACGGGAAGCTCTACCCCAAAACACAATCTGTGCAATCAACATTTACATGACCCATCCGAGGTCCAATATAATACCATAACCACACAGGGTCCATTTTATACGTAAAACTTGACCACACCGGGTCCAATCATCATATTTATATCAAAATATGCAAGGTTATATTAAAACAGTCCATATATACTCTATTACAATTCCTTTACACATTACATGCCAAAATTTAATTACAAATCTACTTTTACAAAAAAAAATGGATTGGAAGCCACAAGTCGACTTTTCTTCAACCATGTGACCCGGATTGTGAGCCGTCCATTGGTGCATGACCCACACCTGAAATGTTTCCCGTATAGGGTGAGCCAATGCCCAGTAGAATAATCCCTACAGAGGCTACTCATCACCTAAAATGCATATGCAATGTATAAATGCAACATTTCACAACAAGTATTCCCTCCAACAATAACATATAATACAATGTTGGAAAATCATGATGCCATGCCAAGTAATGAGATGAAACTCACCCATGCATGCTATCCCGAGCCCACACCGACTCCCACAACACAATGCGACACTTACGTGTAAAACAAACGTCTTTGATGAAACACATCCAAAGATCATTTTGAAATCAACCATATGTCATAAAACTAATTCATTCTTGGATGTTTCCCATCAAATGAATAATTTATATATCAAAATCATGTGCCTTTATGGGGTATCGGATTCAGGAATCGCACCTCCGGCTCCGTACGCCGTTACACTTTTCTGGAATTTCACCGCCGGTAAGTGTATGAACCAAGTGGTCGGGTTTTTCACCCGAGGGAGTGTCTAGCCCTACTTGCTATACCCGACACAAGTTTTCTTATGCATGTCACCGTGCGACTCCGTAGGACATTCCATCCCACTTTCCCGAGCCTACCATCAAGAACCAATGTTGGTGTTGATCACCCCATGCAACCCTACACCCACACTCATGCATGTAGCCCATGAATGTGATGTTAATTCCATGTCCATATTGCAATGCATGCCAAATGACAATTTTTAAATATCATTGTATACCATGGCAATTAATATCATTTGCATATAATCACATAACCATTTCAAGTTCAATATATCCAAGAGCATATATCAACACTCCATCAACATGATAACACATAATACATGCTAATATTACATTTCATTCACAAGGCATAATATAAAACACAAAGCATGCCCACATGATCCCAATTTTCAAGGGATTACATAAATACTTCCATATACCAAAATCAAGCCAAGATTTTATATGGATCATTCAAACAAAATAAAAATCAGAATATATGATTTTTATATAACCAATTATCTAAACATTCAAGAAATCACAAACTAGCACTTTCTAACTACCAATTCACACTAAAATTGATCCTACCCATTTCCATAGCACCAATCATAATGGAAAAATATTAGAAATACCCAAAACAGCCCACATGAACCCTATGGACACCTTAGGTTAGAAATAGGTCCGAGTAGGAGGAACCCTACCTCTTGAAGCGTAAAGAATTTGTAGGAAGCCTCAAGAACAAGATTGAAGCCCAAAGTTTAGATTTCTCCAAAATCCTCTCTTTGAATCTTCGGTGAAAATCTTTGTTTTTGGTACCCACGCGTAGCTCTCGTCGCGTAGATCGACTTTAATTCTTGGCCCGACGAATTTCGACCGACGAAACTCCGAGAATCGGCGAAAGAAAGCTTGAAGAATTATATTTTTTTTCTCCTTTGCTCTTTGGTTTGATCCAGCCGGCCAAGCTTGAAGAATTGAGCAAATATCTGATTTGCTCACTTTTATACCTTCTAAACACTTGGCCCTCGTCGCGCCAAGTGTCGTCCTTTGTCCGGGTCCGTTTTCATCCCGAAACGATTAAATTTCGTACCGATTTAAACTCAAAATATTTTATATGAACTTTATTTAAAATATTTTTCAAATTTTCAAATTTTTATAAAAATTTCGTTTTTTGGGGTCATCGAACACCCGTCACCTCGAAAAACGTGAAAAATCTGACTATCTCAGAATTCGACGAAATTTGTCTGGGTAACTAGATTTCGTGAGACGAATCCAACGGTGAGGTCCGTTTCATCATCCGAGGTCTATAAAAATACCAGTTTTTTTTTTAACCCACACTATAATGGCAAATTACCATTTTGCCCTTTTTTTTCAGAAAAAGTTAAAATTTTTCCCGGGTTTCACATTCTTCCTCCCTTAAAAGAATTTCGTCCCCGAAATTCACATACACATGCACATACAATCACATGCATATGCAAAAGTCAATTAATGGTAAATGACCAGAAGAATATACCTCCATCCTCGAACAAGAAAGGATAACTAGTACGGACAGTGTCCTCGCGCTCCCATGTTGCCTCCTCTACTCCTCGATGCTGCCACAGCACCTTCACTAGCCGCACGGTTTTGCCTCGCAAAACCTGTTCCCGGCTATCCATGATGCGCACCGGTCCCTCCTCGAAAGTCCCATCAGCATCAACAACAAGCTCTCCCCAATCCACCACATGAGTCGGATGTGGGGTGTACTTCCGAAGCATAGAGACATGGAATACTGCATGAACACTCGATAGATTTGGCGGTAATGCCAATCGGTAAGCAACTGTACCCACTCTCTCAAGTACCTCGAAGGGCCCGATGTATCTCGGTGACAACTTCCCCCGCTTACCAAACCGGACCACTCCTCTCTTAGGCATAACCTTCAAGAAGACATGATCTCCCACCTCAAACTCTAGAGGTCGCCGCCGTCTATCAGCATAACTCTTTTGCCGGCTTTGAGCCGTGAGAAGACGCTTCCGAATCAAGTCCACCTTCTCCGAGGTGTCTCTGATCAATTTCGGACCCGTAGAAGACCTCTCTCCTACCTCCGTCCAACAAACCGGAGAACGACATGACCTCCCATATAGTGCCTCATAGGGTGCCATCTCTATGCTCGCCTGGTAACTGTTATTGTATGCAAACTCCACCAAGGATAAGTGATCTTCCCAGCTACCCTTAAGATCTAGGACGCATGCCCGTAGCATGTCCTCTAAAGTCTGGATAGTCCTCTCAGACTGACCGTCTGTCTGGGGATGAAAAGCAGTGCTCATCATTAATTGTGTCCCCATGGCTCGCTGGAAACTCTCCCAAAAATGAGCCGTAAACCTGGGATCCCGGTCCGATACAATAGATACAGGTACTCCATGCAGTCGGACAATCTCCCGTATATACAACCTGCAGAATTCCTTCAATGTGAAGGTCATCCGCACAGCCAAAAAGTGTGCCGACTTAGTAAGCCGGTCCACTATCACCCACACCGCGTCATGACCCCGCGATGTCCGTGGCAAATGGGTCACAAAATCCATCGTGATATGCTCCCACTTCCACTCAGCTACCTCCAAAGGCTGGAGTAATCCCGCTGGTCTCTGGTGTTCAGCCTTAACCTGCTGACACGTGAGACATCGACTGACAAAATCGCCAACCTGCCTCTTCATTCCACTCTAGTAATACTGGCGACGAAGATCATGATACATCTTTGTGCCCCCTGGATGAATTGCAAAACAGGAGCAATGAAACTCCCTAAGGATCTCCTCCCTCAGATCTGCCAATTGAGGAACCACAACCCTTCCTCGATATCGAAGACTACCATCTGAGTGAGTAGCCCAGCCCTCGTCACCCATACCTGCCTGTACACGGTCCCGGATGAATAATAGCTCCGTGTCCTGACTCTGGGACTCAATCACCCTGCTCAGCAGAGACGGTATAGTCACCAAACTCCCCAAAGTACCCTGAGCCTGACCCATATAACATAGCCCGAACTGTCCCACAGTCTCAAGCATAGTCCTACCCGGGAAGCTACACTAGCTAAAACTCTCTGTGACTTTCGGCTAAGTGCATCAGCCACCACGTTTGCCTTACCAGGATGGTAATGCAAAGTGAAGTCATAGTCCTCTAAATACTCCATCCACCGGCGTTGCCTCATGTTAAGGTCCCGCTGTGTAAAAATATACTTCAAACTCTTGTGGTCCGAAAATACTTCAAACTGCTCACCATACAGGTAGTGACGCCAAGCCTTCAAGGCAAAGACAATGGCTGCTAACTCCATGTCATGTGTGGGGTAATTCTGCTCGTGATTCTTTAGCTGTCGAGAACCATAAGCTACTACCCTCCCAGACTGCATCAAAACACATCCCAGCCCGTCCTTCGAGGCATCACAATAGACCGTGTACCTCTGTCCTCGTTCTGGAACTATCAGAATAGGAGCTGAAGTAAGCCTCTTCTTCAACTCTTGGAATGCATTCTCACAAGAATCATTCCACACAAACTTGACATCTTTCCGGGTCAACTTCGTCATAGGTGCAGCCAATCGAGAGAAATCCTCAATAAACCGCCGGTAATACCCCGCCAATCCCAAGAAACTACGTATCTCGAAGACTGACTTCGGTCTCTCCCAATTCATAACTGCCTCAACCTTCTCCGGGTCCACGGATACACCCGAAGCCGACACCACGTGTCCCAGAAATTTCACCTCAGTAAGCCAGAATTCACACTTGCTGAACTTGGCATATAACTGATAAT